AACTTCAGACCATTTCCCCTTGTCCTATCGTCTGTTACCAGGGAGAAGAGGCTGACCCCCACCTCACTACAGCCTGCTTTCAGGCAGTTGTAGAGGGCAATAAGGTCTGCCCTCAGCCTCCTCTTCTCCAGACTAAACCACCCCAGGTCCCCCAGCTGCTCCTCATAAGATTTGTGCTCCAGACCCCTCCCCAGCTCCGCTGCCCTTCTCTGGACACGCTCCAGCCCCCCCAGGTCCTTCGGGGAGGGAGGGGCCCAACCCTGACCCCAGCATTCGAGGGGCGGCCTCCCCAGTGCCCAGCACAGGGGCACGGTCCCTGCCCTGCTCCTGCTGGCCACACCACTCCTGAGACAAGCCAGGATGCCGCTGGCCCTCTTGGCACCTGGGCACACTGCTGGCTCATATTCAGTCCCCTGTCAACCAGTACCCCCAGGTCTTTTTCCACCGGGCAGCTTTCCAGCCACTCTTCCCCACGCCTGTAGCGCTGCATGGGGTTGTTGTGACTTTACTTTAGAGAAAACAGCAAAAGTATTTCCAAGCTAAAGTTGAAATCGCAGTCAGCCATGAAAAATATGGGATTTCCTAGGGAGTAAGATCTTTTGACACTTTCTAAAAATATCTCATTCTTTTTTCAAAACAATACCAGAGCATTTATCATTGCAAGCACGCACAACTGTAATCTACCACTATCTTACCAAACACAAACATGCTGCTCCCATAGACCACAGCTGAGTGGTGATACCGTGGTGCTGGCGGGGTCCCCGTGGTAAAAGCCCTGCACAACATTTAGAACAGCAGCAATCAAACACCCTTGTCATGCTTCAGGCATGCAAAGCTATTGTGCAGATTCAAAAAAGAAACAAATGTTAAAAGTTACTCTACTGTTCCTGAGTGTTTGCACTAGTCTCTGTTTCTTGATCACACTGTCTAAGATTTCATGACAGACTTTGTGCTATAAGCATAAATGGTTACAAACACGATGCTGGCTGAAATCTGTTTGGCAGAGATAGCACAGAGGCATACGTAAGCCAACACAGACACCTGTGAGCCCCCCCGGGCACCTCTCCTGCCCTGAGGGGTGGCAGCAGCCCAGCCCCCCTGCCCACGCTTCCTTTCAGCGCTCTCACGGGTGTACAAACAGCAGCAACCCACGGTGTTCTGTGCATCGCCGTGCTGCCCAGCACCCCTTGCTGGCAGGAGCTGTGCGGGGTCACTCCATGACCCTGCTGCCAGCTCAGCCATGCAGCAGGCTGGCAGAGGTCAGCTACGACAGCGCCTGGGTGGGGGGCGATGCTTCCCCTTGGATGCTCTGGAAGAGCCCCCAGCTTTCACGCTGGGATGGAGGCGCTGAGGAAGATTCGGCAGCCCCCAGCCCTGCCAGCAGCCCTGCGGGCGGGGAGGGCCGAGCCGGGCACAGCTCACCTGCACCAGGAGCAGTCCTTCACGTCGAAGCGCAGGAGGTCGTTCAGCATCGTCTTCCTGCGGAGAGGAAC